GTGTGTGTATATATATATATATATATATATATATATATATATATATAATTCCCCCCCCTTCATGTCATATGTGGGGCTCTGTACAAAAAAAAATGGTTTGATATTTTGTCAATTATTAGATTATGACTATATTGACTAAATTATTCATTGCTATAATAATTTGATTTCTTCCATTAAATCATGTTGTCTTGTTTACAAATATGGGTAGTTGACATATAACATGTCCATACATGTTCCATTGCAGGACACTGCTAAAACTACCTAAAATTTCATGTCAACTGGCCAAATATCTAAATGTCCAAAAAAACAAGATGATTTTACCCTAGAAGACCAGGGCTCTGAGTTGCTGATTTGGGTAGTCCTTTCATCTGGTCTCTGCATGCACTTGGTCAGTGTGTTTTAGCAGAAGTGCTGATCAGTGTGTGTTAGCAGAAGCTGATTCCACGTTGAATAGCTGAAGACAGCAGTCTCTGTCTGAACTGGCGCAGTCTTAGCCCTGAAAAATCAATCTCTTAATAAACCAAAAACGGTGGTAGATCTCAGTGAATTATGGGTAAGCCACGTGGATGGCACAGTGCAGTTTACAGAGGTGCATTGCAGGCTAAGAGGTTAATGGATAGAGGGTGAAAAACTTGAGAAAGGAGTAATCCATTTCCCAGTCTTTTTTATTTCTAATGTTTGTTCATCCTGGCTTCATGATCCTGCACAGCCGTTTCTTTACCCGTAAGAACTGAAAAGGTGATGTATGCCAATCATGTGTGCCTATATCACCTATTGCTCTATGGCTTTAGATTAGAACAAATGCTATATAAACTATAAGTGTTAAACTCACATGAATGATATCTCGGATCATGTGGATTGTTGGGGAAAAGTTGTTCTTTTTATTCTCAGAGTGGTTAGACTTAAATTTTTTTTTTGACAAATCAGTTGAAACTGGTGACAAAACAGGTTAAAAAAGTAGATTTACACTGAAGAAAGGAACCAGACATTGATGTGAAATGGTGACCAATAACTAAAGAAAATTTGCTTTTCCTTCTTGTATAGGTTCATGATGGGGTTGAGATTGGAAGCTTGGCGCCTCGCGGGAGCCATGAAATAATCATGACATTGCATGGACAAGGCCCGAGAGGAGGAGGTTAGAGTTTAAGGACCCTTTACTAATCAAGTATGACTGGTGCTTCAATTTCTGATATTCTCTCACATGAAAATCTGTAGGATAACATTTAAATACACTATATGGCTGAAAGTACGTGGAGATTTCTAGTTCGCAAGTTTAGCTACTTCAGCTACACTCATTACTAGCAGAGAAATAACATCTAACCTGTTCGAAAAGTGAAGTCTATAAAGAAATTGTTTATTGAGTCTGGTGTGGAAGAACTTCACCGGTCTGCACAAAGCCCACAGTTAAACCTCACTGACCTTTAGGATGAATTGAATGTTTACTGTGAGCCAGATCCCAACATCAGTGCCTGACCTCACTGATGCAGATCCCCACAGCTGTTCCCCAATATTTAAAACTTTCCCAGAAGAGTGGAAGCTGTTATTCACTGAAAATCTGCCCTAGTTCCCCTTGATGGGTTCATTAAAGAAGCAGTAATATCTAATTTATGAATGAATCATTCTTTTGAGTCAGGTGTTTTCAATTAATCGTTGATACAGTTCATAAAGTCATTGATCAATTTATTTATTCATTTATTTTTTTATTATTATTATTATTTTTAAAGTACAGGATTTCAGATTTTTCCAGGTTTGATTTAAGGATAAAAAAAAAAACGTTTTTTTTTTAAGGGGTGAACTATCCCTTTAAAAAGCATAAATTGGAGTGATGTTCATGTATCCACATAATTTTCTCAGTATATATCTCTTTTGCAGGGAGGTTCGGACAGACTACGCCACCATTGGTTGATTTTTTGAAAGATATTTTGAGAAGATATCCAGAGGGTGGACAAATTCTAAAAGTAAGAATATATGATATGTAAAGCATGTATGTATATGGTTATTGTGTGTGTGTGTGTTTGTTTTTTATCATTTTGTTATCATGCAGGGCTCTAGACACATTCTTCCCACTGGTCACGCTGGTGCAACTAACTTTCTCAACTGGTATCACCAGCACATGATTTGTTCGCACCTTTTTTTAATGAATTGTTTAATTGCAATATTTACTATCTATCCATCGATCGATCTGCTTGCTGCGGTAGTCAGTGTTGGATTTGGTTTTCAAGTGAAATGTAAAAGTAAAGTAAAAGACCGCTTCTTAAACCAGATAAGGTGAACATGTTGGTTTTTGTTAATAAACGTTAAATATTCGAGTTTATCATTGTATAGATGTAAGCACAACAGACAATTATTTTTTCTTGTAAAAACGTGACACCAAGATCGCGAAAGTGAAAGCATCCAAATAGTGCCTTTTCTTTTTTCGACTTTCGACTTAATTCCTAAATTTCTTGAATTCCTAATTTGCGTGTTTCATCATCAGTGCGCCATGTGCATGTACGTGATTGATAATGCAAGTACAGGTAGGCAGACACCGATTCAGTGCGTGACGACACATAAATGTGACCACGTCAAATTTTAACTCGCACATTCTCAAAAAATGGTCGTAGTCTAGAGCCCTGTCATGCGGTCTGCCTACTTGGCCTTGTCTCCCTCGAAAACAAGATTTTAATCTTATGGACATCTTGTATAAATAAAGTTTAAATAAATAGATTTAAAGAAGCAAGCATGCTTGCATAGAGGATGCATATAAAGCCATTAAATAGTGTGCCCACTCACTGCCCAGTAATTGAGCGAAAACATATTGAGGCAATTTTGTTGTAAATAACACATATAGCAATGTAAGAATTTATGTCAATGACTTTATGTTGTGCTTGTCATGCAGGAGCTGATTCAGAATGCAGAGGATGCTGGGGCCACTGAGGTCAAGTTCATGTATGACGAGACGGAGTATGGAGTGGAATCACTGTGGTCAAATGATATGGCTCAGTATCAGGGTAATCCGAATATGCTGATCGATTGCAGCTATCCCTTCACATGTTCAATATAATTTCTGGCAATATGCAGGAAACAGAATGAATAGTTATAACAGGTTAATAATCTTGAAATACACTGTTAATTGAAATGTTTTTGTTTTTTTTAACAGGAACAGCATTGTATGTCTATAATGATGCCGTCTTCACCACAGAAGACTGGAATGGTATCCAGGAGATTGCACGGAGTAGAAAAAGAGAGGATCCTCTTAAAGTGGGAAGATTTGGTATTGGATTTAACTCTGTCTACCACATAACAGGTGAGAAAAGAGTATGTTATTTAATTGATGCATATCATACTTTATGTTATCAACATAAAGAATTTAGGTTAGAATTTATATTAATATACAAGAGAAAAATTGTATATTACGTGACTAATCAAGTTTTTCACCATTTATAATCACTCTTACGCGGTCATTTAAATGGTCCTGTGGTGTGACACATGAATTTTTAAAAATGCAAATGTTCCATGTAGTCTGTAAATTAATATCAGTTCCTAAAAGCTGCATACATAATAATGTATTTGCAAAAAAAAACATTTTAGATGGAGTTTATCATGCCATATTGCAGGACAGTTCAAAACCCCAATGATATTTCATGACAACTTTTTTTTTCATATCAGCTTATTAGATAATTTTTTTCTAATTTGTGAATATACAGTTGAGCAGGGTGGAAAAAGTAGAGGACCTGATGGAAAGTAGGATCACCCTTTATGTTATGTGTCCATAGTTGTGTGCAGTGTTGGGGGTAACGCATTACAAGTAACGCAAGTTACGTAATCAGATTACTTTTTTCAAGTAACTAGTAAAGTAACGAATTACTTTTTAATTTACAAGAGAATATCTGAGTTACTTTTTCAAATAAGTAACGCAAGTTACTTTTTTTTTCCAATTTATTGATTGACAGCTCTCCTGTCCCCATGTTGAGAGAAATCAGAGAAGCGTGTTGAAATTTCTTCTTCTGCATTCTACTGTACAGACGTAAATTTACATTTCCTTCAGCCTGAGGCTTATTCATTTCAATTTTGGTGTGAAAAGGTTTTTATATTTGCCTAAAATAGAACTTTTTTATTTAAAAAACAAACAAGCAAGCCCTGTCCAGATTTAAAAAGTAACGCAAAAGTAACGTAATGCATTACTTTCCATAAAAAGTAACTAAGCAACGTAATTAGTTACTTTTTTATGGAGTAACGCAATATTGTAATGCATTACTTTTAAAAGTAACTTTCCCCAACACTGGGTGTGTACCCATATATATTTATATACATGGGTATGCCAAATTCATACATTTACATGTGTATGTGCATATGCTAATATAATTCATTATGGACCAAAAAAAACTAAAACAATGTTTATTATTCAAAAAATTTTCTATCTTTTTGTAGATGTTCCTAGTATATTCAGTGGGGATCAAATTGCAATGCTGGACCCTCATCAGATGTTGTTTGGAGTCCACGAGTCTGGGCAGTGCTGGAATTTGAAGTCCGATATAAAGGAAATAACCGAGCTTAATGATCAATTTGCCCCTTATTTTGGCCTGCTCGGTAGCTCCGAGAAAACCATCAAGGATGGCAACTTTCCAGGAACACTCTTTCGTTTTCCACTCCGTATGAAACCCTCACAATTAAGTAACAACATTTACAATAAAGAAAAAGTTCTGGAGCTTTTTGAATCGTTCAGAGTTGACGCAGACACTGTGTTGCTCTTTCTAAAAAGCGTGCAGAAGGTCTCTCTGCATGTACGGGAATCTGATGGAACAGAGCGAATGCTTTTCCAGGTCACAGCAAGCGACAGCCAAGAAGATAAGATGGAGTGGCCCAATGCTCTGAAGACCCTGGGACAGGCAATAGATAGCTACAGTAATGGCGTGCTGAGCAGTTCAGTCACCTGTGCCACCTACCAACTCTCCATTGAAGTGCGGGATGAAACGGCCAAAGAGACTCAAAAGACCACCTGGTTAGTGTGTAATGGCGTAGGAGGGCGAGGAATGTGCGGTGAACTGGATTCTCTTGCCGATGATCTGAAGTTCATCCCAACCATTGGTATTGCCTTGCCCCTTACGCTTATTGATGAGGACAAAGGGGCAACTTCTTGTGTCTCAGGACGTGCTTTCTGTTTCCTCCCACTGCCCCTTGGAGAAGAAAGTATGACAGGATTGCCGGTCCACGTCAGTGGTTTCTTTGGTCTGACGGACAACCGCAGGAGCATCAAATGGCGGGAGGTGGACCAGTGGAGGGACCCGGCGGCTCTTTGGAACGAGCTTCTCATAGTCACAGTCATTCCAAGGGCTTACTTCACACTCATCATGGAGACCATCAGGAGAATCCAAACTAAGAAGGACCAAGATTTTCCCCTTTCCCCGAGAGGTATTTATGGAGCCTGGCCTGATCCAAACAGAATCCGACCTCGCTGGAAACCCATTCTTGAGCCCCTTTTCAATGACTTGCTTCAACAGCCGGTCATCTACTCGCTCAACCGGAGCTGGGTTCAGGTGGATGAAACCATATTCTCAGACTTGGACTCCAGCATGGACACTACAGAGACTGTCATCAAATACCTCCAGAGCTCAGGGATGATGCTGGCTCAGGTGCCAGCCTACATTGATGCAATACTGACAATATTTGTCACCAAGCCAGGTAGCCTGAGGAGAGTGACCCCTTCTTTTGTGCGCCAGACTCTGAGGAAATGTCGCCATAGAGGGTCCTCTAATGAGAAGCTGCTCCTGCTAGAGTTTATCCTTAGCGATGCTTGCTACAATGACCTCATTGGACTGGAGCTTCTACCTTTACAGGATGAGACATTTACTGTGTTCTCCTCTTCTGTGAATGACAAAGATGCTGTCTACATCGCCTCAGAGGAGTATCCAAGGTGTGGGAATATATTTGTATTTGTGTTCTTGGTATTACTAATGTTCATTCGTAGTTTTAATTTGGAATTTAAGAACTGTCTCCCTTTAGTTCTTGAGTTTGAATTTAATTTAATTGGCCACATGCCACTGGATGGAGAATTTGAATTTGAATTTGAATGACAGAATGAAGAATTTCTAGAATTGCAACAAATCAGCACTCCAATAATTAATTTTCACTAATTATGCCCATTTTTTTTCCTTCATGATTTTTCCTTCAGTATCTGTTCTGTTTGATTTTAATTTTTATATACTATACTATACTATACTATATCACTACATTCAGATTTACATGACAACTTTACATTGTTTGCTACTGTAGCTCAATTCAAATTCTTGAAATGCATTTTTGATTCAATTCTAAATAATGCTTATCCCTGACCAAAACTTGAAAACAGGATACACTGTGTTATAAGCATATGATTATGAGTTTGATTTTTCTCTCTAGGTCCCTTTATCCAGGACTGGAGGGAAGATTTGTCTTGGAAAGCATTGCCCCTCATGTCATGACCAGCCTGAAAGAAGCAGCCAAAAGCAGAGGTAGACACTCACATGCTCTTATTCAGGATACAGCATCTGCTCTCATTCCTCTTGGTGAAACTTAATCTTGTTCATGCATAGTTTGCTGCAGGGAGTAAAATTTTTTAGCTTCATGCTTGCTATTATGGCTGTCAGATTTTTGAGTTATGCTTTTTCCTGCATAAACCTCTGGTGTTGTTCGGTCATAGACCAAAAAACATTTATTTTTTTTTAAATCGTTACTTCATTGGAATGGTACAAAACTCAATTACTTTTATGGCAGTCGCTATGTGACCACAAAAAAAATAAAAAAATATAAAATTGTGGACTTGATTCGAAAAAGCTAAATGGTCGTAAAAAAAAAGTCACACTTGTGCTGTTCGCAGTCAAAAATGACCGCCATTGGAAATTAATGGGAAATACACAACAATACGAAAATAGAGAGAATTTTTTGTGTGTACAATCTACAAATCATTCACGATGCAGAAAAAAGTGCACAGCAATGAAGGGGTGACACTCTAAAATATCAAGAGTGCAAAATAGACACGCTCCACCCACCCCACACAGACACACATATATGAGCTAGTGTGACTATAACACAAAGCATGTTTTTGTAAATGCGTGAAATAAAATCAATAATTCACACTCACAGACACACACACACACATAACACACTATTATACACACACATATGAACTGGTGTGGCTAACAATATGGCAAAATTGAGCCAGAAAACTCAAATAAGAGGTTGAAATCAGATATATTAACCTCTGATGAAGCATTCCTGTTCATTTTTGTTAATGAACAAGAGGGTGGCTAACCGCACACTGATCGACTCAAGACTGGAAAAGTCTACAAAAACATCTTTTTTATTTTATGAATCGCATCGTACAAAAAGTGCAAAGTGCATGTGAATTAAAAGCAGATGGACACAAGCAAGCAAGCAGACATTTCAGCACATTGCTATCTTCAGTGCTCACTTACCAAACAACATTCACCCTTTTAAGTAGGTCAGCAATTAAAGACAATCAGCTGAATTCAGTTATCTCAGGTAACCCTCAATTATCACAAGCAGAATTCCAAGAAAGTTTGATCATTCACATATATATAGCAGAATATTTACAAGTATACAACTTCAAAGAATGACCAAATATTACAAATACAACAAACACAGCAGGAGAAAGAAAGAAGATAAAGTAGTAACGACAATAACAAGTTTTACAAAAAACAAGAGAGTTCTAGTTCTTCATTCATACCCTCAGGAAATAAAGATTTAAGTTCAAAGATCCAGAAAGCCTCCCTTTGCAACAACTTCTTATCTCTATCTCCGCCTCTTCTATGAGGTAGAATCCTCTCGATGCCCAGGAACTTCATGTCAGACAAAGAGTGGTTGGCAGACTTAAAGTGATGAGAAATTGAAGATGTATCATCCTGTCTCCTAATGGCACTTGTGTGTTCAATCATTCTTGTGCGTAATGCACGTATAGTTTTGCCAACATATAGTTGTGAACATGGACAGATGATAATGTAAATAACTTATTTACTCTTACAAGTGATCAATTGTCTAATCTTAGAGGTTTTTAGTGTATGAGGATGTGAAAATGATTTACATTTAACCTACTTAGTACAGGAAGTACAGTTGTGACATGGAAAATTACCCTGGGCATCGACAAGAGTAGTCGGAGAAGAGATGTAGGTGTCAGCATAAACAAGCTTATCCCTCAAATTAGAGCTCCTGGAAGAGACAAAGAGTGGTTGATCACTAAATACATTCAATAACTGGGGATCACTTTGGATAATGTGCCAATGACTCTTGATAATAGTTTTTAAGTCATTACTCAGTGGACTGTACGTGGATTTAAAATACATGAAAAATTCTTGTTTCTTTTATTCATAGTCAAATTACTTTCCTCCTGTTTTTGTAAGCTAGAGACCTTCTCAAGTGCAGTGTCAAGCCACTTACATTTACATTTACTGTTACATTTTTGTTGAATTTTGATGTTATGTGTAACAAAATGTCTTTCTCTGTGTTCAGGTTTGACTGTAGTAAAATGAATGCAAAAACTGACATTTCAAAAAAAACAAAAACAAAAAACTTCTAAACCTTAAAACAAAAAGTTGTTTTTGAAAATGTCTCAATAAATATCCAAAACCACAACTTATTAAAAATAAGTATTTATGTCTAAAAACAACTAGAGAATTTATAAGCCTTTTTATAGTGAAGTCGAACTCCGAGCCTCCTGTTGTACCCATTCTGTGACGCCAAACAGCTTCCCCGTGCAAAGGATCATGGAAGCCCGAAGTGTCCATCAGTTGTACCCTTCGAAATCCTTCATTCTGGGAATCTAGTGGCTAAACCAGGGGTGTCAAACTCAAATCCTGGAGGGCCAGAGCCCTGCAGAGTTTTGTTTCAACCCTGCTTCAACACACATACCATGTAGTTTTCAAATACGCCTGAAGGACTTGATTAGTTGGATCAGGTGTGTTTAGGGTTGAATCGAAACTCTCCCTGCATTCCATTAGGAAGGTGCGGGCTCATCCTTATGCCCTAATCCCTTCAAAGGGTTTACCCTCCTGAGTGAGAGCTTCGAAGGGATGAAGGGTGTAGGGGTCAAAAAAACAAAAACTCTTTTTTCGAAACGTACTACCAGCATACAAAATGTGCGACGAAGGCGCCTCCTTGATCGTCTCGTTAAGATGTTAACGAGACGATCAAGGAGGCGACTTCGTCGCAATGGCGGCCATGATTGTTTTCACTCCGAAGTGCCCTTCAGAGGGCGATATATCCCGTTTGGAATGCACCTTTTGGCACCTCTGGGCTAAATCATGGAATTGCAGATGTTTTTTCTTTTTTTACTCCCATCAGATGGCACTAATCTGCCTTCAAAAATTGGGTTTTAAAGGCATTGTCTCTATTTTAACATGAAATACTGCCATAATTGAAAATTATTATAAAAAATATTTTTTTATATATATATAATATAATATTATTTTCAATCGGGGAAAAATTTATAATTATTGCATAAATATTAATTTATAGAAATAAGAAAAAATATTATTGAACAAAAATATATTACATTGATTTTACTGGAAAAAAAAAAAGTTACATTTCACCATGAACAACACAAGTGTGACCCCCAAATGAACATTACCAGAGGGTTAACTTAGTATATGCTGAAAAAGATTAAGTGCTTTCTATGAAATAAGCAGAACCTATAAAATCTGTCATCAGGCATTCATTTTAGCTTGACTCATAGAACACAGTTTCCTTTTCCCTATTTCCAAAAGACTAAATATAATATTTTAAAGGCATTAACACCTTGTATATGTAGTAATTATTATTACATGAACGTTGTTGTGTATAATATTTGAAGGTAGGGGTGTGTGATATCACGATTTGGGTCATGAACAATTAAAATGTCACCACAATCCACCATTGAAGAGAGATCATAGACAAAATCAGTCACTGCTCTTGACTGAATAACTTCAGTAGCTTTGATAAGAATCAGTGTTTATTTATTTCATACAGTGAAGGCTGTATAGTGTTTAGTTTTTACATTCATTTAATTTCTTACATGATTTATTTATTTATTTTTACCTTTTAAAGGCTACATTTTTTTAAATAGGGAAATTAGTTTGGCTGTACTGCTCAGTGACTTGCAAAATAGTCTTAAAATCCAACATGAAAAAGAATCGTAATAAGATCGTGATCCTGCCATGAAAATAAGTATGATATATTTTTGCCATAATTGCGCACGTCTATTTGAAGGTGCTACTCCATGTTGCATTTTTGAAGTAGGACTATGTTAATTAATTTGGTATCACTTTATAATAACTTTCATAATAAATATAATGCTTAATGGATCACTAGTTAATATATATTCAAAGAGTTAGAAACGTGAGATAATGTGCTTGTTAATGTTTGCTAATAAACTTATTAAACATTAGATAATGTTCAAACAAATCATTATTTCATGTAAGTTAAAATGCTTACAAATGCCATTAAACTTTCAATTCCATTAAAAGATGTTATAAAATGATTAAAAGCTTGTGTTAATGCACTTTTGCTGCTATTAAGGTGTGATACGGGTAAGGTTAAGGACAGGTTTGGTGGTATGGGTAGGTTTAAGGGTTGGTTAAGGGGTCAACAGTGTACAGGGGTCAATTTAATTATTATAAGGGAACAGTTCAATCTGTTTATATTATATTGTTTTGATAAATGAACAAGTATTTTCTTTTAAAAAATGACTTGTTTTCCCCTGTTTATTTATGATTTAAGGCAGTGGTCGCCAACCCGTTGATCGCGATCGACTGGTAGATCTTTATCACTGTCCCAGTAGATCCCGAAAAAAAAAGTAAAATAAGTACAAAAATGCATTACATTTATGGGGTTATATTAATGTATCACTGAAGGGAACTGTCTTGAGAAAAGTTTTGATGGCAACCATTAAACTTTCAATTCCATTAAAAGATGTTATAAAATGATTAAAAGCTTGTGTTAATGCACTTTTGCTGCTATTAAGGTGTGATACGGGTAAGGTTAAGGACAGGTTTGGTGGTATGGGTAGGTTTAAGGGTTGGTTAAGGGGTCAACAGTGTACAGGGGTCAATTTAATTATTATAAGGGAACAGTTCAATCTGTTTATATTATATTGTTTTGATAAATGAACAAGTATTTTCTTTTAAAAAATGACTTGTTTTCCCCTGTTTATTTATGATTTAAGGCAGTGGTCGCCAACCCGTTGATCGCGATCGACTGGTAGATCTTTATCACTGTCCCAGTAGATCCCGAAAAAAAAAGTAAAATAAGTACAAAAATGCATTACATTTATGGGGTTATATTAATGTATCACTGAAGGGAACTGTCTTGAGAAAAGTTTTGATGGCAATGGCATTTTCTTCTCCTCCGTATAAAGCGCAACTCTGCTTTGTTTACAGTGGTAAACAAGGAAACGCTATAGTGCGGTCGGTTCATAAGCAGTGTTGCCAAGTCCGCGGTTTTTTAAAGAGCTACTTTAACACTGTTGCTGCGGGTTGTTGTTCATGTCCGCGGGTTGAAGCGACCCCAATAACGTGATATTTAGTCCCTGGAATGTGAATTTTACTGGAAGATCCCCGCCGAAAAACGTGTATTTTACCCCCGGAATGTGATTTTTACAGGGGACCCCCCATTTGAAACGCGATTGGACTAGTTTTATTGCAAAAACCTGGCAACCCTGGTTCATTAGTGCCACCTGCTGTCAGAGAGTGCGTCTCATTCAAACCTGCTGTTTTTGTTTCGTGCAGATGTTTTATGTAGCAAATAAATAAATAACACCTAAAGTCAGACCATTCTGTTTTTGTTTTAAATCCTGAAATTAATCTAAATCAAATCAAAAACAACTGCCCGTGCAGATCGTGATTAAAATGCAGTGGTTGCCTCTAATTTCAAATGGCTAGATATTTTTGTTTAAAGCCAGTTTTTTTTTGTTATAAAGCAAATAGCCAATAAATACATTTGCTTAAAAATCAGTATCAGTATCAGAATCCAAATTGCTAGTAAAAAAATAAAATAAAATCTGAATTCTGATTCAGCTAAGATCGGCGCATCACTAATTAAAATACTAAGTAAAAGGCCTCAAATTTGAAGTACAATCTGGGATGTCTTTTTCTATCAATTCTTCAATAGGTAGATCTTGTCTTTCATAAAGGCCGAGGTCAGGGATCTTGGGCCTAAAAAGGTTGGTGACCACTGATTTAAGGAATATCCTGTTTAATGATATACTGAAGAATAGTATAATAATGTGAGTGTTGAAGCAATAAAAACATTTTTTTCTCCAAAATTACAATCTGTGATGATTAACCTGCCACCCTTCACACAAACCTTGTTACAGCTAAAAGTCCAACGCCCATAAAGATACTAAATGATTAGTAATCGTTTATAAACATTTACAAATGATGAATACTTTCAACTTTAGATTAGCTACTGCAAAAACATGAACAAATGATTAATAAATGATTAGTAAAGATGTGTGAATAGGGTAAATTCAGGTCTTTCGGAACATTTTTTGTCATTGAGATGCCTGTTTATAATGGTATTAATGATTAGTAAACGTTTATAAACATTTGCAAATGATAAATAGTTTCCACTTTAGATTGGGTACTGCAAAAACATCAACAACAAATAATGAATAGATTATTTGTTAAGATGTGTAAATAGAGGTCTACACAATAAACAAAGACCAACAAATGAAGATATGAACTGAAAATTTACTGACATTTGTAAGCATTTCAATTTACATTAAATAATCATATGTTAATCATTAGGTAATGTT